GAGTCTAGTAAACATCCCGGGTATGTTAAAATATGAAACACGAAATCATAAATTATAATTTAATAAATAATCATGAAAAATAATAATAATAAATAATAATAAATTTAATTCAATAATATAATCAAAAACACTGAAATGTGAAAATATAGCGCCAAGTTCGCACATCGCTGAGCAAAGTCGCAGAATCGTTTTCAGTGTCTGATGAGGAATTTCCCCCACGAATCATTATCCCTCAATTCTGCAAGTGGTGGTTCTGATTTACTATCGCTGTTCTCTAGCCGGTCTAAAACCGCTTTTGACCTAAAGGGACGCTTTTTGGACGCCATGGACGTTTCTCAGTTTCCAGGCAGAAAGAACAGTAAAAATGCAGGCAGGGCGCCGGACAAAGCACTCGGGACACAATGTCTGTGAAATGGTTTGATACAGGAATGTTATACTATGTGATTTTAGTGTATTTAGTGAATGTCACTTTTTCACAATTTTTAAATTTCCCGCCAGTCCCGTCCCCCGTATGTCCCGACGTCACAGGGAACGGAACCCGGAAGACGGATGTCGGCATCGGCCGGAGGACATTGCTGGGGACACTGCAGGGGGGACATCGCGGTAGCGCGCAGGACAAGGTAAGTGCGGAAGAGATCCCGGAGCAACGCTGCAGTGTATTCCCGAGTGTAGCTCTGGGAGGGTTACCCCTTGTGGTGCTGAAACTTTACCCCGAGCTACACTTGGGAATACCTCCAGGGGGGTTAAGCAGTGTTGCAGTGAGACAGGTGAGTGATACTCTTCATAACATCCAATAGTACAGAGGAGTCTCCGACACTGCAAAGAGTAGTACTTTTCCAATATCTGAAATTCATGCAAATTATTTGAGAAAGCATTGGAAACAATACAGAAAGTGTTCTGAGATCAGAACGTTGATGACATATGATGAACATAAGCTGGCTTTACTAGGTATGAGCAATAAAAAACAAGCTTTAATTGAGGTACAAAAACCCCCTCTGGCTACAGTACATTAGAACACAAGACAGACATGCAATTTACACCCAAGTCTTCATTAATCCCTTAGCGACTGCTTTTGGCAGTGTTTTTGGCAAAGCCCCTGAACTCAGTAAAAGGTGTCCATGTACACAGCGGCTTTTACCATAGTTTAGGAGCAGTGAAACGTTCCTCTTCTAAACGCAGAATAATCGCATTCAGGAGAGGACCGTTTGGGTCAAAAAAGCTAAACGCAGCAAAAAACGCGTTTAAACGCGTCTAAACGCTAGCCGCATTTAGAGCTTGAGCGTTTATCCATGTCAATGAAAAATACTCTGGCCAATCAAATAAATAATCGTCCAAGCGCTAAACACGGTACTGCGTTTTAATGTGTTTTTTCTGCTGCCAGTAGAGTTTATTGAGCAGCTGAGTTCATGAGGCCTAAAACAAATGTTAATGTCTGACATATGTCAAAGTTGCAGAATTATGTTTAAACTGTACATATCATCGCAACTACTTTATGTATCCAGGTGGATTATATCGCGTTTTTTTTTTTTTCAGGGAAAATTGGCCTTTCATTTGGTGGCAAATGGTAACAGATATTTCCTGATTTTCTATTTGTTTTCATTATCAAAGGAAAGCTGGCCCAAAATAGTAAGAAAATTTTTTTTTTAATTTAGTTGTATATTTCCTGCTATTAGTATAATTTACCACCAATCAGCAACACAAAATAAATTCAGCTCCTGATCATCGCAGTGATACCACATACATGTATGCTCTTTGTACCCGTAGTAACACCCAGAAGCAATGGTGCGCAATTTCCTTTTTTTTTCCTTCACTCTACCTAAAACACACTAATACTAATTTAATTTTTTTTTAAATCCTATAAAAAATATACTGACCCTGACCTTTGACTCCAACACTGACCTTTGACCCTTGCCTTGACTCTATCACTAACTTTGGCACTGACCTAGATCTATTTTCTTCTTTATTATTTAACTCACTTCTTTTTTTTATTTACATCTTCATTTCCTGCAACGAGAGAAAGATACAAGATATCTTCCTCTCCATTCAGAAGAGGAAATAAGCACAGGGGCGGGCTCACAGTAACTGATCACTGTGATAACCAATCAGCGGCTATCACAGTGGTCAGGTGACCAGAAACTGGGAGTTCTGGGTCCCGATTGTAAGTACAAGACCTGGCACTCTCAGGGGCGGGCTTCACAGTGACTGATGACTGTGATAGCCAACCAGAGGCTATCACAGTGGTCAGGTGACCCATAACAGGGAGTCCTGGGTCCCGATTGTAAGTACAAAATCAGCACTCTCAGGGGCGGGCTCACACTGACTGATCACTGTGACAGCCAATCAGAGGCTATCACAGTGGTCAGGTGACCCAGAGTCTGGGAGTCCTGGGTCCCAGTGATTTTAAGTACAAGCTCTCAGGGGGTGGGCTCACAGTGACTGATCACTGTGATAGCCAATCAGAGGCTATCACAGTGGTCAGGTTACCTGGAACAGGGAGTACTCTCTCAGGGGTGGGCTCACAGTGACTGATCACAGTGGTCAGGTCCCGGAATTTGTAAGTACAAGATCCGGCACTCTCAGGGGTGGGCTCACAGTGACTGATCACTGTGATAGCCAATCAGAGGCTATCACAGTGGTCAGGTTACCTGGAACAGGGAGTACTGGGTCCCAATTGTAAGTACAAGATCCGGAACTCTCAGGGGTGGGCTCACAGTGACTGATCACAGTGGTCAGGGCTGGTCCCGGACCTGTGGGAGTCCTGGGTCCCGATTGTAAGTACAAGGCCCGGCATTCTCAGGGGCGGGCTCACAGTGACTGATCACTGTGATAGCCAATCAGAGGCTATCACAGTGGTCAGGTTACCTGGAACAGGGAGTCCTGGGTCTCGATTGTAAGTACAAGACCAGGCACTATCAGGGGCGGGCTCACAGTGACTGATCACTGTGATAGCCAATCAGAGGCTATCACAGTGGTCAGGTTACCTGGAACAGGGAGTCCTGGGGTCTCGATTGTAAGTACAAGACCAGGCACTATCAGGGGCGGGCTCACAGTGACTGATCACTGTGATAGCCAATCAGAGGCTATCACAGTGGTCAGGTTACCTGGAACAGGGAGTCCTGGGCCTCGATTGTAAGTACAAGACCCGGCACTATCGGGGGCGGGCTCACAGTGACTGATCACTGTGATAACCAATCAGAGGCTATCACAATGGTCAGGTGACCCGGAACTGGGAGTCCTGTGTCCCAATTGTACGTACAAGACCTGGCACTCTCAGGGGTGGGCTCACAGTGACTGATCACTGTGATAGCCAATCAGAGGCTATCACAGTGGTCAGGTGACCTGGAACAGGGAGTCCTGGGTCCCGATTGTAAGTACAAGACCCGGCACTCTCAGTGAGAGTCTGGTCTCTATGCTTGTAGCGCGCTGTGCAGAAAGGGTTAATTAATAGGTTGTATGTAAATTGCATACTCAGTGGACTTCACACAAAGTAACATCATAAGTTGCCTTTAGGAACCGTATAATTGCATGCTACATGCAATATGTCCCTTTTTTATACACACGGCTCAATGTCTAGACCAGGGGTGGGCAAACTTTTTGCTTGAGGGCCGCAATGGGTTCATATATTGGACCCGGGGGCCGGACCAAGAGTAGATGAATGATGTGTATGTGTCATCCATAGTAAGTATAGTAATCTTCCCCCATAGTAAGCATAGTAATTCATCCCCCATATAGTAATTCATCCCCCATATAGTAATTCATCCCCCATATAGTAATTCATCCCCCATAGTAATTCATCCCCCATATAGTAATTCATCCCCCATATAGTAATTCATCCCCTCTATAGTAATTCATCCCCTCTATAGTAATTCATCCCCCATAGTAAAATTCATCCCCCATATAGTAATTCATCCCCCATAGTAATTCATCCCCCATAGTAATTCATCCCCCATAGTAATTCATCCCCCATATAGTAATTCATCCCCCATAGTAATTCATCCCCCATAGTAATTCATCCCCCCTATAGTAATTCATCCCCCATATAGTAATTAATCCCCCATAGTAATTCATCCCCATAGTAATTCATCCCCCATATAGTAATTCATCCCCCCATAGTAATTCATCCCCATAGTAATTCATCCCCCTATAGTAATTCATCCCCATATAGTAATTCATCCCCCATATAGTAATTCATCCCCCCTATAGTAATTCATCCCCCATTATAATTCATCCCCCATATTAAGTCCCCAAGTCCCCCCTGTGTCAATTCACTTACCTTTGCTCCACGCGTTCCTCTCGCCGTGCTCCCGCGTCGTTCTGGTGTAGCATGAAAATCTGTCTCCTATGAGGATCTGTCCCCCTCGACGTATCTGCGCATGTGCCAGTTTCAGGCATTAGCAGCCGATCGGCGATCTACGGCACATGCGCACATACGTCGAGGGGGACAGATCCTCATAGGAGACAGATTTTCATATTACATCGGTCTTCAGGGCGGACTGTGAGAGGAGCCTAGCGGGAGCCTAGCTCCGCGGGCCGGATTAAAAGGTCCGCTGGGCCGTAGTTTGCCCATTGCTGGTCTAGACTCAGTTCAGGAAAATCAGCTTCAGATATTGCTTTGAATACCCAGCCTCACCTGTGGTCCTCCATAAATAAAAAGGACAGTAGGATACTTCTTCCCTGGCTGTAGCTGATGAGGCCGATACATCATGCCATAAAGGGTAAATCCTGTCCGACTGGGGAATGAGAATATTTCTGGGGCGACGTACCCAGGAACAGTTCCTGAGAAAAGAAAGATAAACTAGGATTAAATGTTCCAGAAACAGAAACACTGCTTTACAGCCAGCTACAATTATTAGATGCTTGACAATCCCAACATGGCGGTGTTTTGGCAGCAGGATCTATCACCTGCGATTGTAGTTGATAGACTATTGTCTCAATGACTAAAGATCGGAAATAATTAGGCATCTTACCTGGCGACTCAAGAAGAGTGGCCCAAAATTCCTTGTCCCTCTGGGCAGGATCAGACCCAGTGCCTTTTATTTTAAAAAAGATGTACAGCATGTGGGAGGGTTTGGCTGCTGAAACGGCTGATAAACATATCGCAGTGCTGCAAGGAAGACAAGCAGAATGTCATATGGATCTAGGTTTACATACAGCTTAACCCCTTCCAGTCCGGACACTTTCCCCCCTTCAAGTCCGGACACTTTCCCCCCCTTCCAGTCCGGACACTTTCCCCCCCCTTCCAGTCCAGACACTTTCCCCCCCTTCCAGTCCGGACACTTTCCCCCCCTTCCAGTCCGGACACTTTCCCCCCCTTCCAGTCCGGACACTTTCCCCCCCTTCCAGTCCGGACACTTTCCCCCCCTTCCAGTTCGGACACTTTCCCCCCTTCCAGTTCGGACACTTTCCCCCCCTTCCAGTCCGGACACTTTCCCCCCTTCCAGTCCGGACACTTTCCCCCCTTCCAGTCCGGACACTTTCCCCCCCTTCCAGTCCGGACACTTTCCCCCCCCTTCCAGTCCGGACACTTTCCCCCCCCTTCCAGTTCCGGACACTTTCCCCCCCTTCCAGTCGGACACTTTCCCCCCCTTCCAGTCCGGACACCCCCCCTCCCCCCCTTTCCAGTCCGGACACTTTCACCCCCCTTCCAGTCCGGACACTTTCACCCCCTTCCAGTCCGGACACTTTCACCCCCTTCCAGTCCGGACACTTTCACCCCCTTCCAGTCCGGACACTTTCACCCCCCTTCCAGTCCGGACACTTTCACCCCCCTTCCAGTCTGGACACCTTCACCCCCCCCTTCCAGTCCGGACCCTTCCCCCCCTTCCAGTCCGGACACTTTCACCCCCCTTCCAGTCCGGACACTTTCCCCCCCTTCCACCCCCCACCCCGCTTCCAGTCCTTTCACCCCCTCCCAGTGCAGACACTTTCACCCCCTTCCCGGACACCCCCCCCCCCCCCCCCTTCCAGTCCAGGCCAATTTTCAGCTTTCAGCGCTGCCACACTTTGAATGACAATTGCGCGGTCATGCAACACTGTACCTATATGAATTTTTTTTAGCATTTTTTGAGACAAATACAACTTTCTTTTGGTGGCATTTATTCACCACTGGGATTTTTATTTTTTTGGCTATATAAATGAAAAAGTCCAAACATTTTGAAAAAAAAGTGTTTTTTCTTATAAAATTTTGCAAATAAATAAATCTTGGCCAAAATCTATCTTTTTAGTAAAAAAAAAAAAAATAACCCAAAATATAAATTTTTCAAAAATGTTTTTGACTTTTTTTTTTATATATTATTATTTTTTTTAACATACTGTCACCCTAGCAGTACAGTGTCACTATAGTGACACTGTACTACTTGTGGGGGTGATGAAGATTTTTTTTTTTTTTTTTACACGGATTGCTTTTACACCAATAAAGGCTGTAAAATCAATCATTTCTCCTCCTCTCTGGCTGCATTCCTGCAGCCATTGAGAAATACTGTGTGAGCTGTGATTGGTCACAGCTTGTCACATGGTACAAGGCTGTTGTGAATTGCCCTGTACCATGTGACCTCTGTGATCATTCACAGGTTTCACATGTAGTAAGCAATGATGTCAGAAGTGATATCTTGCTTACTAATATTCATGTGATCACACGATTGGGACCTCACACAGAGGTCCCGTACACGCGATTGGTGTTGTGTGCAGAGGTGCTGCGAGCTCCCAGAGAGCGTGCACAGGCAGGGAATGCGGGAGGAGACGCTTATAAAATGGCCACCCACTCCTGCAATGCTCCGTCTGGACGTTTATGTACATGGACCGGATGGGAAGTGGTTAAAGTGGTTCTAAAACCTCAAGGTTTTTTTTTTTACCTTAATGCATTCTATGCACGAAGGTAAAAAACCTTCTGTCACAAGCTGGCCCCCTTATACTTACCTAAGCCTCATCGAGATCCAGTGCTGTACACGAGAGCTGCGGCTCTCCTGGCTTTGTCCTTCCTCGCTGGGCAAATCAATAGCAGTTGCTCCTGTTAATCAACTCCTGTGACAAGGGGAGCAGGGCCGAGACCTGCTGTCTGTGTCAATGGACACAGCAGCAGGACTCGGGAGTGAGCCCGCATGAGTGCCACCCATGGGAATGGGCTTCCTATTGGGGGCACCAACAAGAGAGGAGGAGCCAGGAGTGCCAGCAGGGGAACCGAGAAGAGGAGAAATCAGGCCAGATACGTATCGAAAGGTTTGGTTTTTTTTTTTTTAAAAAAAAAAAAGTTGCTTTTACAATCCCTTTAAATACAATGTTTTATGAATGAACATTTTGTTTCATCTTTATTCCATTTTGTGTCAACTCCTAATGGTTTTGTATCAGTATAACATTTAAGTCATTGAAATAACTTTTTTATATCTTTTAGCGGTAAAAACGTCCGTTGCTTAATAATGGAATTTTCTATTCACAATACAGCAGCAACAAAATCTCTTGGATAATACTTTTTGAAAAATTTCAAGCATTCTTCGGGACAAGAAAACCAAAAGATCTGGAATCCATGGGTGTGATGCTTACAGTTACTGGCATAGGACTGAGGCTGGGGCAACGTGGTAGGGGCTGGGAACCAGGTCGTCAGAAGCAACTATTCCCCCCCCACCCCCTTTTTCTTCTTCTTTTCTAGTCCTTTATAGGTGGGATTGCTGGTCATCTTTTCATTGTTTTGGTTCCTTTGTGTACTGCCACTGGTTAGTATATATATATCTGCCTAGGACCATGGACCCTAGAGGACTGAACTGGGACCCACCATTTTCATAATGAGTGTCCACGTGGCAGGCAATACTGTGGGACTGATTTACTAAAACTGGAAAGTGCAAAATCTGGTGTAGCTATGAACAGAAACCAATTGTAAGCTCGAAAGAGAAGGGCCCTCGAACCCCTCGTGTATTTTTTGTTACTGTATTGTCTCATGTTCTGTCCCTCACCATAATGTACAGCGCTGAGCAAACCTTTGGCGCTATATAAATAATATATAATAATAATAATAATCAGCTTTAAGTTTTTTTCAAAGCCTAAAGTGGTTCTAAAGCTTGAGGTTTTTTTACCTTCAGGCATTTACCCACAGGTAAAAAATAGTGTGCAGCTCCCCCTCAGCCCCCTCCCCTGAGCCCAATCTAGCGATGTGCACAAGAGCAGAAGCTCCCCAGGGTCTCTGCCTCCTCATTGCCTGAGACACAGCCGTGGGAGCCACAGAGGCAGCTCAGGAGCAAGCACGCACAAGTGCCCCCAGAGCAAGCAGTTTGCGCTAGGGGCACTTAGCAAAGGAAAGGAGCCTGGACCGCCGGCAGGGGTCCTGAGGAGCATTGCCGATGCTCTGTGCAAGACCACTGCACAGAGCAGGTAACTATAACGTTTGTTATTTTAAACAAAGAAAAAAAAATCGGAACCTTCACAATCACTTTAATTGAACAAGCTGAAGTTGGAAGCCGATTGGCTACCATGAACTGCTGCACCAGATTTTGCACTCCCAGTTTTAGTAAATCAACCCTTTGTGTGTCTCTGGTCTCTCAATGCTAGTCTGGTTCCAGATCTTTTGGTTTGCTTGTCCCAAAGAATGCTTGCCATTTTTTTTTTATAAAGCAGCGTTCAAGAAAGTTTGTTCTTACTCGCTGCTATATTGACAGCAGACGACTTCTATGCTTTGACAGCGGACATTCTTGCAGCTAAAAGATATAAAGAAGAGTCATTTCAATGGATTATATATTATGCTGATACAAACCATGTGTATGATCCACTATTCACTAAGGCCTACTCTTGTTTATTGTGAAAACAATAAAATATTGCAAAAGAAAGAAACAACCTATTAAATTACCTGCTGAATGACCCAAAACCGATATTACCACCCAAGAGACATGTTATATATTTATGTTAATGAACCAAAGAGCCAGCATAAATTTTAACCAGTTCCCTACTGCGATATAGCAAAGGACGGCTACAGCGCGATTGTCTGGTTCTGGGATGACATACATGGACATCATTCCAGAACACACCCCCTGTGCACCTCCAGCGGAGCGTACCCGGCGCCGCTGGTGATCGCTGTGTCCTACAGACACAGCTGATCACGGGATCCGGTAAACAGCCAATCACGGCGGCCTTTTACTACGTGATCAGCTGTGTCCAATGACACAGATCACCGGGTAAATACAGTTGCTGGTTATCGGAAAATACTGCGGATAACCGGCAATCATCAGAGAAGTGATCAGCACTGATGATCTGTGCCCATCAGTGCCACCCACCTGTACCCATCAGTGCCACCCACATGTGCCTTGCAGTGCCACCCACATGTGCCCACCCACCTGTACCCATCAGTGCCACCCACATGTGCCCTGCAGTGACACCCACCTGTGCCCACCCACCTGTACCCATCAGTGCCACCCACATGTGCCCTGCAGTGACACCCACCTGTACCCATCAGTGCCACCCACATGTGCCCTGCAGTGACACCCACCTGTGTCCACCCGTGCCACCCACCTATGTCCACCTGTGCCGCCCAGCAGTGCCAGCTCATCACTGCCTCCTATCAATGCCCACCAGTGCTGCCTATCCATGCCACCTCATCAACACACATCAGTGACGGAGAAAAATTACCTGTTTGCAAAATTTTACAATAGAAACAAAGAAAAACTTTTTTTTTCAAATAGTTTGCTCTTTATTTTTTTGATAAAAAAAATAAAACACCCAGCGGCCATTAAATACTACCAAAAGAAAGCTCTTATTTGTGTGAAAAAAATAATAAAAATCCCATATGGGTACAGTATTGCATGACCACGCAATTATCATTCAAAGTGTGACAGCGCTGAAAGCTGAAAATTGGCCTGGGCAGGAAGGGGGTATAAGTGCCCAGTAGGCGAGGGGTTAAAGCATATGGCAATGCAAAATGGAAAAAAAAAAATATACTAAAAAAAAAAAACGTACATCTCTGCAATGCATGCACATTTCCCAGTTTTGTTCCTTTAAAGCGGTAGTAAATGCAGAAAATTTTGAAAAAAGGCCAGTCCTCCTGCAAAATATTACCATAATGTGCCATTATGCATGGCATACTAGCACATTATGAAAGACTTACCTTAGAATGAAGCCTTGCAGCGGCACGCTGTCACCACTGATAAGGCTTCCATCTTCACCCGGACTTCCTTCCGTGTCCACAGGCTGCGGCCCGCTTGAATGGCCATGCCGCAATGATGGGTGGGAGTCTTGGCCGTGGAACACAGCTCTGAAGGAACGGCATGGGTATGATGTTCCTTCAGAGCATATGTGCTGGTGGCGCCACCGGTGGCTGCTCACTGTAATATCTTCTAAGTGGTGGTCAGTGAAGGAAATGCGTATTTGCTCCCCTGCTGATGTTGAATGTTTGCCCGCTCACATAGAAATGATCGGTCTAAAAATCGAATGTTCGGTGTATTGTAACACTGAGAGACAGAATAGCAACAAAACGTTCAGCAGAAATGTATGTCTAACAAATGATGACTGATCTGCATGTTCATGAGGGAAATAAGGATTTGATCCCCTTCACAAAACATGACTTAGTACTTGGTGGCAAATCCCTTGTTGGCAATCACAGAGGTCAGACGTTTCCTGGAGTTGGCCCCCAGGTTCGCACACATCTCAGGAGGGATTTTGGCCCACTCCTCTTGGCAGATCCTCTCCAAGTCATTATGGTTTGGTGGCTGACGTTTGGCAAATCGAACTTTCAGCTCCCTCCACAGATTTTCAATCAGATGAAGGTTTGGAGACTGGCCAGGCCACTCCAGGACCTTAATGTGCTTCTTCTTGAGTCACTCCTTTGTTGCCTTGGCCTTGTGTTTTGGGTCATTGTCATGCTGGAACACCCATCCACCACCCATTTTCAATGCCCTGGCTGTGGGAAGAAGGATCTCATCTAAGATTTGATGGTACATTGCCCCGTCCATCGTCCCTTTGATGCGGTGCAGTTGTCCTGTCCCCTTAGCAGAAAACACCCCCAAAGCAGAATGTTTCCACCACCATGTTTCACAGTTGGGATGGTGTTCTTGGGGTCATAGGCAGCATTCCTCCTCCTCCAAACACGGCGAGTTGAGTTGATGCCAAAGAGCTGGATTTTGGTCTCATCTGACCACAACACTTTCCACCAGTCCTCCTCTGCATCATTCAGATGTTCAGTGGCAAACGTCAGATGGGCCTGGACATGTGCTTTCTTGAGCAGAGGGACCTTGCGGGTACTGCAGGATTTCAGTCCTTGTCGGCGTAGTGTGCTACCAATTGTTTTCTTGGTGACTGTGGTCCCAGCTGCCTGGAGATCATTGACAAGATCCTCATGTGTAGTTCTGGGATGATTCCTCACTGTTCTCATGATCATTGACACTCCACGAGGTGAGATCTTGCATGGTGCACCAGACCTAGGGAGACTGACAGTTGTTTTGTGTTTCTTCCATTTGTGAATGATTGCACCAACTGTTGTCACCTTCTCACCAAGCTGCTTGGCGATAGTTTGATAGCCCAGTCCAGCCTTGTGTAGGTCTACCATCTTGTCCCTGACATCCTTGGACAGCTCTTTGGTCTTTGCCATGGTGGAGAGTTTGGAATCTGATGGTTTGATTGCTCCTGTGGACAGGTGTCTTTTATACAGGTAACAAAATGAGATTAGCAGCACTCCCTTTAAGAGACTGCTTCTAATCTCAGCTTGTTACCTGTATGAAAGACACCTGGTAGCCAGAAATCCTGCTGAATGATAGGGGATCAAATACTTATTTCCCTCATGAACATGCAGATCAGTCATCATTTGTTAGATGCATTTCTGCTGAATTTGTTGTTGCTATTCTGTCTCTCAGTGTTACAATACACCGAACATTCAATTTTTAGACCGATCATTTCTTTGTGAGTGGGCAAACATTCAAAATCAGCAGCGGATCAAATACTTATTTCCTTTACTGTATGTTTGGGAGATATTCATTTTACCTATAGGTAAGCTTTATCATAAGCTTGCCTGTAGGTTAAAAGTAAAAGAAACAAGTTAACTACCACTTTTTGGCTGCATGTACAGAAAATGTTGATATGCCACAAAAATAATAAGCCCCTACCTTCCCCTTAAGCACAGTGTATTTTTTGGCTCTACATTTTTAACCAAAGGGTGCCAGCCCTGCCTGCTTCAGTTTTGAACTTCTCCTCCTCCCCACCATAACCCCTCCTTGTACACAGGCAGACAGCACAGGAGGTTTTCAGCTGAGAAGATATCTGCCAAAATCAACAGGTATTTTTTGCACTCACTGAACAGCTAGTGCAAAAAAAACATTCAATGGTATATGATTAGCAAAAGGGAGCAAATAAGGGAAGTCCACTGTTAGATTTTCCATACAATTTCATGAAGAATCTTACCTTGCTAACACAACAGGAATGGGAGAAGCCCAGGTCCGTGAGTCTTGTCACCTCTCCAGGAGTGTCATAGCTTGTAACATACAAATGGTGTTCTAGAGGGGTGTCTTTTGTAGCCTCAAAGTAGACCAACTTATTGATCTCATCCACCCGAATCTGAATAAATAAGCAAAGTTTTCACAGTGTGAATGCCAAATAATGAAATAAAGCTAGAGGACATTTACAAGGGATGCAACGGCGCATGCAGGGATTAGAAACGGTGAATAAACCTACCATATCCGGGATTAAAAAGCATGCAAAAGGTTTACAAATGTGCTACAAATACAACTAGTGGTTGGGCAGCACAGTGGCTAAATAAAATTCATATGTTTTGTGATGAAGCGCTCAACTTATATAGTGTATACAAACCCTTTTTTTTTACATCAACAATATTGTGAAAAATTCAAAATAAGTGCTTAATTCCCTCTTAAATTCTATAAACTATACAAAATCATTTATAAATAACTGGTGCAAATTCACACTCCTATTTATGCCCCCTAGTGGTCAAAGACCGTGAAAAATCGAATACAAATGATAACACTTTATCTGTGCAAAGTGATAAGTGTATCCAATTACATGAACTAAATCAAATAAACAGTCCAAAAACTTGTGATGCCCCACTGTGCAAATAATAAGTGTTCAATACACAGTGATTATAACTTCACTCCATGCTGCAAACGTGCTCTTCGTGACACTCTAATGTGACTCCCCCGGATTTAGCCAAAATGCCTCCTCACCTTCCACATTCGACCCTTGCGGGTCACAAAGCCTTAAATATATAGTATCTCAGCCAGATTTTCATGCTCCACTGACTCCACCGACTCAATTAAGATCCCCCTCCAAGCAATGAATGCCTCTCAGATCACTTTCCTCACAATATGGACTCATAAACACAGGACGTATATGTGAAAACAAAGACTAACCTCCATAGTGCAACGCTGTTTTAATGCACTTAAAATTTCCAAAGCAAATGAACACTCACATGTCATCCAGCAGAAAGAAGCAGTTTCCCATGTGCTATGGGTATACTAAGGTGTACCAAAATGGCGTCCGAACCCGGAACCGGGAGTACGCCCCCCCCTTAACCGGAAATGCGTCGACGCGTTGCGCCACGATCACGTGGCTTCTTCAGGATCCTGAAGAAGCCACGTGATCGTGGCGCAACGCGTTGACGCATTTCCGGTTAAGGGGTGACGTACTTCCGGGTTCGGACGCCATTTTGGTACACCCATAGCACATGGGAAACTGCTTCTTTCTGCTGGATGACATGTGAGTGTTCATTTGATACACAGAGACGAAAAAGGTCCTCTTACACCTCTACCCCACCCTCACCTAACAGCCATTCTCCTACATTTCTCCTACCACTCCATCCCCCACAGCCACTTCCTCCTGTACCACTACCCCTCCCTTCTAGATTGTAAGCTCGAAAGAGTAGGGCCCTATAACCCCTCGTGTGCTGTTTGTAGTTGCTGTACTGTTTCATGTATTGTCCCCCCTCTATTGTACAGCGCTGAGCAAACCCTTTGGCGCTATATAAACTCGATGTAATAATAATAATAATACATAAGTTGTACCTGTTTACCTAAACCCATTCAAAATGGACAGTTTACACAGCATTTCTGATGGGCAGGGGGGAGGCAATCTGATACTGCACAGTATAGAAAAAGAGTGTGAAATCTGAGATCTGAGTGAAGGGAATGGATACACCACCTCTCATAGGAAAACATGTACAACAGAGGCTGTCAATCACAGGCTGTGTGCTGGAACGACTGGATCCCTTGGAATTAACATACCTTGTAAAACGTGGCTCCTGCACAGTGCCTTGAAAAATATTCATACCCCTTGGTCTATCACAAAAAATCCCAATAAAATGCATTTATATTTTTGGCTGTAACATGAGAAAATGTATAAAATTTCAAGGGGTGTGAATACTTTTTCGAGGCACTGTATATAGTAGAGGAAGAAGCAGACAGAAATCACACTAAGGCTCCATGCACAATAGCGTTTTTTTTTTTTAAGCTCCAAAAACGCTGGTAATAAGTGTTTTTAGCAGTGTTTAGAAGCATCAGTATTTTATTAGCATTTTTACAGTACATGTAGAAAAAAAAAAAAGCTAGAAAAAAGCTGTTTATTAGCATTTCCTTTTTTTCTGCTGGAAAAACGCTCACAAAAACTCTACAAAAGCAAATTTTGTTCTGCTCCTAGATGCTGAAACTCAAAAAACGCCAATAGCCTTCAGCTACTAGAGTGCTTGGACAGATAGGAGAACATTATTCTGCTTCTAGGAGCAGAAACAATGCTGACAGCTTCCAGGAGCAGAAAAAATGCTGACAGCTTCCAGGAGCAGAAAAAATGCTGACAGCTTCCAGGAGCAGAAAAAATGCTGACAGCTTCTAGCAGAAAAAATGCTGACAGCTTCTAGGAGCTTAAAAAAAAAGCCATGGAGCCTAAGTGCTTTGGATTGAGGCAAGTGCACACTATAGAAGGATAGGCTTTGTTTATTTTTCATTTCAGAGGTTTACAACCACTTTAACAGCCACATTTTTTATACTCTACTATTTAAAAGGTTTCACGTAACAGTAAATTTGCTTTCTCTTGATAATTCCGACACAGTAATACAGCAGGTAAAGTAAGTATTTAACACGTCACCATTTTTCTCTGTAAATCTATTTCTAAAGATGCTATTGCCATTAAATTTTCACCACGTCGGTAACATCCCATGCAATCCATACATACAAAGAAACCAAAACAAATACCTTCCGAAATTATGTTGTGTGTAATAAAATGGAATGACAGGGAAAAAGTATTGAACACACTAACCTAAATTTATTTAATACTTCCTACAAGTAACGACAGCTTCAGCCCGAATTCACATATATGCGGTGAGGTGTAACTTTTTTTTTTTCAGGCATTTTTTGTTTATATTCTTTTCCTTTGGATAGAAAAAAAGGATACAATGTATTGTTCAGAGAAGAATGTACAATGTATCCTTTTCTCCCTTCAGAGAAGAATGTACAATGTATCCTTTTCTCCCTTCAGAGGAGAATGTACAATGCAGTTGATTTCGGCTAGGTTCACACTACTACGGTGCGGTATGTCGCATGTGATTCGCTCAGGTACTGCACCGCATTCCTGTGCAAATCACATGCGATTTGTGTGCGGTGAGATTGGAGCCGTACATTTTGTATGGCTCTAATTGCAATGCACCAAAAAGGTGCAGGACTCTTTTTTGGGTCCGCACTAGAATCGGGTATTCACACCTATGCGATCCGATTCTACACATCGCACATTTTGCGGACCACTTTCGAGGTGTTGTTAACTTAACATACACACCCGCAGCGGTTTGCATGAACAGGGTGGGATTCTGATGCGGTGCGGATTTAGCACAGAAAACGCTGCGAATTTCGCGCCGCATCAGTGTGAACCCGGGCTAAAGACGCCTCCTGTATGGAGAAACTAGCGACATGCATTGCTCTCAGGTGTGATTTTGGCCCATTCTTCCAGTCTTCAAATCTTGAAGGTTCCGTGAGCCTCTTCTATGAACTCTGATCTTTAGTTCTTTCCATAGATTTTCTATTGGATTCAAGTCAGGTGATTGGCTGGGCCATTCTAGCAGCTTTATTTTCTTTCTTTGAAACCAACTGATAGTCTCTTTGGTTTTGTATTTGGGATCATTGTCTTGCGAAATGTCCGCCCTCATTTCATCTCCATCATCCTGGTAGATGGCAGCAGATATCAAGAATGTCTTGGTCCATTTTTCCATTCATCCTTCCTTCAATGATATGACATTTGCCAGTACCGTATGCTGAAAAACAGCCCCACACCATGATGTTCCTGCCGCCATGCTTCACAGTTGGTATAGTGTTTTTGGGGTGGTGTGCAGTGCCATGTGACCTCCAAACATGGTGTGTATTATGGCATCCAAAGAGTTCCATTTTGGCCTCATCTGACCAGACGATATTCTCCCAGGATTTCACCGGCTTGTCTCAATGTTGTGCAGCAAACTTTAAACGCGCTTCTTCTTCAGCAATGGAGTCTTGCGTGGTGACGTGCATACAGGACATGGAGGGTGAGTGCATTACTTATTGTTTTCTTTGAAACAATTGTACCTGTTAATTCCCGGTTTTTCTGAAGCTCTCCACAAGTGGTCCTTGGCACTTGAACAATTCTTCTGATAATTCTTTTTACTATCCTGTCAGAAATTTTGGAGGAGCATCTGGTCGTGGCCGGTTTATGGTGAAATTATGTTCTTTCCACTTCCAGATTATGACCCCAACAATGCTCACTGGAACATTTCTAAATTTAGAAATTCTCCTATAACCAATGCCATCAGTGTGTTTTGCAACCAAAGGGTTGAGAAGGTCTTGAGAGAGCTCTTTGCTTTTACCCATCATGAGATGTTTCTTGTGTGACACCTTGGAAATGAGACACTTTTTTATATAGGCCATCAGTTGAGACTGAACCAGCTGATATTAATTTGCACTGAAAAGGGGCAGGAGGATTGTTTTCTAATTACTGATTTCAGCTGGTATCTTTGCTTTCCGTGCCTTTTTGCACCTCCCTTTCTTCACGTGTTCAATACTTTTACCTGTCGTTCCATTTAATTACACATAACTTAATTTCTGCAGATTCCGCACCGCATCAGATTCGCACCCCGTTCATGCAAACCGCTGCAGGTGTGTATGTTAAGAACACCCCGACAGCAGTCCACAAAATGCGGTGCAATGTGCAGAATCGGA